ATCTAACAGAGAGAGAGAGTCTATAGTCTTGTTAGAATTGCCCATTGTTACAGCAAGGATCTGCCTACCTTAGTTTTGGCTCTGGAGCTGGAAGTAAGCGGAGGTTCTGCTTCTTTGGGTACAGTTCTGGGGCTGGGCTAAGCTGTCCATACCAGGAGTAGCCAAAGGTAGCAGCGTTTGCTGGACTAATGACTCCCTGCTCCCCCCTCCCCCCCCCAGGTTGTGGGCCTGGCTCCAAGGGTGGCCACTAACTACTTATTTTTATGTTGGAGGGGCAGTCCTGGGGCTTGAACTTGGCCTGGGCATTGTCCCTGAGCTTTTTTGCTCAAGGCTAGGGCTCTACCACTTGAGCCACAGCGCCATGTCCAGCTTTTTGGTGATTAGTTGGAGGTAGCAGTCTCCCAGACTTTCCTGCCAGAGCTGGCTTTGAGCTGAGATTCTCAGATCTCAGCCTCCTGAGTAGCTAAGATCACAGGTGTGAGCCACTGGCGCCCGCCTACCACTTAGGCTTTTTTTTTTTTTTTTTTTTTTTTTTTGGGGTCCGGTTGTGGGACCTGAACTCTGGGCCTGGGCACTGTCCCTCAGCTCTTCAGCTCAAGACTAGCACTCTACCACTTGAGCCACAGCACCACTTCCGGCTTTTTTCTTATATGGTGCTGAGGAATTGAACCCAGGGCCTCGAGCATGCAAGGCAAGTGCTCTACCACTGAGCCACCTTCCCAGCTCCCCACTTAGGCTTTTGAGACGCTCAAAATCAACCCTGTGTGCCCTGATGGGTCAGGCCAGTTCTTTTGGTTGCATGGAGAATCGAGTGCCTGACACAAGGGAGGCGAAGTGGGCACCAGGGAGGTGGGGCTGGTGGCAAAAGCCACTGCTTTCTTCCTGGGCAGTGCCCAGGGTCAGAGCCCTGTGCTCCTGGAACCAAGACTTCTCCTGCCCCTGTGGATGCCAGCAGTGAGGTGCTGCCGGCCGAGCCCGTGGTGCGCCCTCCGACCCCGTCTTGAGTCTGGGTCTGCACTGACGCTCTCGCCAGGCTGAGTGCTGAGCGCACACAGCCCGTCCACCCCACACCGGCTCCACGAGGGACGCGGGCTCCGCCCTTGCTGCCGGACACTCGCGAGTTCCTGTGGAGCAGCGGCGCAGCAGAGCTGAGGCGCAGGCAGGCTGGGGCCGCCTCCTGGCCCTCGAGGCTGGCTTTCCACTGCAGCTGCCTGAGCTCTTGCTGGGGGGCGTGTGCAGGGGGGGGTGCTGCTCTGTGGGGCCACAGCCCCGCCACCGTCTGGAAGTAAGTGTTTCCCTTCCATGTGAGGAACCTCTGGTTCTGAGAATAGGAAGTTGGTCGCTCACAAAGCAGTGCCAGCATTTCTTCTTTTGCCATGCTGGGATTGGAACCCAGGACCTCTTGCGTGGTATCCCCTGAGCTAAAGCCAGAGCCGGGTCCGCCTGCCTCAGACCTTTGGTGGTTTCTGCTTTTGGTTTTTAAGAGCTTCGGCACCTTTACCTGGAGTTACCGCACGGCCTTGGCAGCGGTCGCCCCTGTCCTCCTGAAGTGACAGCAGCTCAGTTTGAAGGAGAGGGGAGGAAGTGGCGCTGTAGCTCAAGTGGTAGAGCGCTCGCCTTGAGCTGAAGAGCTGAAGGACAGCGCCCAAGCCCAGAGTTCAAGCCCCACGACCGACAAAAAAAAAAAAAAAAAAATAGTTGAGTGAAGGAGAGGGGAGCGCACCCGTGTGCTCCTGCTGCTCTTCCTACCTGGCAGCAGGGTCAGGAAACCCCTTTCGGGGAGGGAGGTAAAGCTTGGGCTAATTGTGTGACATCAGCTGGAATTGGAAGGCGGTGGCCTCGGTGGCCTCGCTGGCTCTGGACCAGGTGACACCTTTGTTTACTCAAGATCCCTGACCGCTCTCCTTCCACTGAAGACAGTTTCAAGTGCAGCGTTCAGAAGCCTCTAGGAGAGGATTTGGAAGAGCAGCTCGCCCTGAGAGCCCCAGGATGAGTGTTGGGGGTAAGAGCAGAGCAGGGCACTAGCTAGGGGCCTCTCCCTCTCTCCCCCCCTCTCTCTCTTCCCCCCACTTCCTCCCCCCCCCCCCCCTCAGGCTGCTTGTCCGAGTAATCTGTGCTCTGCCCTGCTTTTGAGGTCCCTACCCTCACCTCCCTTTGCTCCTCACTGGGACCCTCGGGCCAACCCCCGCCCCACGTCCCTTGCTGGAGAATTTGGGGTGGGGTGCTGTGCTGTGCGTGGGAAGACAGGGCCACTCAGCCTTTTCTTCCTCTGTGGGGACAACTTCCAGCCCGGGTTCAGGCAGTACCAAGGCCCAGCTCTGCCCTGACAGTTCGCCAGGCTCTGGTGTCCCCTCTGCTTGCGACTGTGGTGTGTTCTTGGGGTACAGATGGCCTGTCTGCTGGCTCTCACCCGTGCTCGCGGGGATTGGAGGCTCAGCTGATCTTAGGCTGGGGGGCTCTCTGGTCTGCCACTCCTCAGGGAGGCCGTTCAGAGCCCAGGACAGTCAGACTGGTTTTCTCCAGCCATCAGCAGTTTGGCCTGGCTAGGTGAGAGGTAATCTGCCCTGGGGGAGCCCCTCCTAGGACCCTTTTCCACAGGGGCCTGGATCACCTGTGCCTGGAAGGACGGAGCTTCCAGGTCGGAGCAGGGCAGTGCTGAGGGCACCGGTTCTCTTGCTGGCTGGCAGTGATAGGAAGTTCCCGGAGGAGCCATGTCAGTGGGGGGGCCTGCAGGGGGACCGGCCAGGCCGGAACTGGAGCCAGGCCTGCCGCTCTCCTGGATGGGCTTCCCCCAAGCAGCCCAGCCCGGGCACCCCTCCGGGTTGGAGGGTCCCTGACAGGCCAGAGCACTTCACCCAGCCCCACCCCAGGGAGAAGCCACTGCCAAGATTCTCACAGGCGCTTCAAAGCGTGACTCACACAAGCTCCCACACAGCAGCAGACCCCGGGCTGCCTCCCGACAGGACACATGAAAGCCGGGAGTTGTTGTGCAACGTACTCTGATGACCTGGGGTGTTTTTAGTGGGTGACAGGTTGGCAGATTCCGGGGAGTTTAGGAGGAGGCTCCTGGGGCTGGTTTGGTCTGGGATTGGACCATGTGTGCGATGGCCCCCTGGGGGGAGCGCTGCCCCCGAGGGACGACCACCGTGCTGAGTGAGAGATGGCGAGAGAGAACTGGCTTCTGAAAGCCGTGCCTCTCCCTCCCACCTGTGCCCTCTTGGGACTTTCAGGGTGCTGAGAGAAGAATCGAAGCGAGGGCAGGTGTCCCCAGACCGGCACTGCCCATCGGCCAGCCCCTGCCCAGCCCGCTGCCGGGGAACAGACCGGCTGTCTTTCCACGCGCATGGCCTGCGCTGGCTTTCTTCCTGTCCACCCCCCCCTGCTCTGTACTCATGTCCGCGTCCTCAAAGGCCGCAAGCCCAGGTGACCTCAGCCTTGGCCCCAGCTGGTCCCAGACCCAACTACTCTGGAGCTTGGGGCCTGTTGAGGGGTGTCTTACCAGCTCAGCTGCACACTCTGCTCATTCTCAGCCTGCAGCCTCCTTGGAGCCGGGGAAGGGGGGTGCAGGGGGGGGACGGACCTCAGCGCATTTCTAGGAAATACAGATGTGCTGTGCTGCAGCTTGCAGCTTCCGCCTGGCTCCTCTACCACCTCTGGCACTGTGCGTCCTGGTCTGAGCAAGGCCCGTAGGACATCGGCCTTTGGGATGCTCTGGAGGGTGGAAGGCGGCATTGCTAATGAGCACGCTGGGACAGCCGGCCACCCCGATGCAGGAGGAAAGGCTCTGAGGGAGCCCAGGGGAGGCCTGCGGTTTTGGGGATGAATGGATGCGCCTTCTGTGCCTGGCGTGCCTGGGGCCAGATCGCGGGACAGTAGTGAGTCCTCCCATTTTGCCAGAACAGAATCTGGCATGTCCCCCCCCCCCCCCCCTCCAGTCTGCCAAGTCCTGTCTCAGGGGTGAAGGTTGCCCACGCGCTCTCAGCACGCGGCCAGCACGGCCTGGGAGCTCGGGCTCGGGCTCACGGGGTTAAGTCCTGGCCCTGCTGGGGTGAGCGTGGGGAGCCCTGCCTGCTGGGGTGAGGGGGAATCACCGGGCTCCCTGGTGAGGGGCACTGCTCCTGGCACCTCTGGCACCTCCCTGGGCAGTTGCTCTGCTTTGGATTGCAGAGCAAAGAGTGAAGAGCGCTGACCTCTGACCTCGAGCGACAAGCACCGTCCTGCGAGGCAGTTCCGAGCCGCCTTGCCGGTATGGCAACACTACTCTCGGAGCACAGCCACGGGGCTCCGGTCGCCCCAAGTTTGTAGCGAAGGGTGTTTGCCACACAGTGACGAGAGTAGGCCTGGTCACGGGCATTTTCTCAGGCGCCCTGGACTCCGTGTCCCCTCTCCTGCCTGTTGCCTGACTCTGGCTGCCAAGAACCGCGGGGCGGGGCGGGCGGGGCGGGCAGCGCGTCTTCTGAGTGTGTCTGGTCTCCCCTGGGCGCCCGCGCTTCATTCGGGTGATCTTTCCTGGAATCCGAACCAGATGAACTGGGCTGGCGGAGTCCTTCCCAACCCCGGGCTCGCCAGAGCCAGGCTGCCCGGCTCAATGGGCCAGGTAGACCTGGCTCTCCCAGCGCCCGGAGACAGCTCCCCTTCGCCACCCACCTCGCACCGATGGCGTCCAGTCTCTGATGCGGGGGGGGGGGGGGGGGGAGCGGGTGCTTCTGAAGGGCTTGATGGGCTCCCGCCGCTCTGTTCCCGTCTGTGTCGTGCCTGGCATGAGGAGCAAAGACAAGAGGAGGAGGAGAGGGGTCCACTTTGCCTCCACTTCCTCCGCTCCGGGTGTGCCTGGTGCCTTGGCTTTCCAGCCTTCCTCAGTTCACAGAGGAGGGGGAGGGGAACATCCCCTGCATGGCTGCAACAGACTAGAGACGGACAGACAGACTCACTGCGGGCAAGGCTGGGGCGGGAAGCAGGTGGGGCTGGGCTCTGCTCACTGCCTGCCTCGTGTCCCGCAGGTTGGAGGGACCCCATGACACACACTCGGAGGAAGTCCCTGTCCTTGCTGAGTTCTGGCTCTGCGGACCAGCAGGAGCCCCTGCAGATGGAAGGCAGCAGCACGGAGCAGGGGGCCGAGGGCGTGGAGCCCGGCCGGCCAGCGAGCCCCGCGCACCTCACAGGGCGCCGCAAGAACTACCCGCTGCGGAAGCGGCCCCCGGTCCCCGAGAAGCCCAAGGCCTGCAAAGTGCTGCTGACCCGCCTGGAAAGCGTGTGCGGCCCCCGCAGCGCCGACGAGGCCGACGAGCTGCCCCCCGACCTGCCCAGGCCCCCCAGCCCCGCCCCGTCCGGCGAGGACGCCGGCCTGGTGCAGCCCCGCAAGCGGCGCCTGGCCTCCCTCAACGCGGAGGCCCTCAACAACCTGCTGCTGGAGCGGGAGGACGGCAGCCTGGCGGGCACGCGCCGCCCTGGCCGCGGAGACTCCCACCGCGCCCGCGACCGCGCCCCCAGCGGCTGGGCCGCCTCCAAGAAACGACCGCGGCTGGGAGAGGCGAGTCGGGACCTGTCCCCAGAGCCAGCCTCGGAGGAGGGCACCCGCCGAGAGGGAGACCCCGCGCCCAAGAGGCTGGCCAGCCTGAACGCAGCCGCCTTCCTGAAGCTGAGCCGCGAGCGGGAGCTGCCCCTTCGGCCCCCTCGGGCCCCGGCGGAGGCAGAGGGGCGATCCACCGAGCCTCCGGCACCCAAGGTCCTGCGGCCCAAGTGGGCCAAGGTCAACGGCAAGAACTATCCCAAGGCCCGGCAGGGGGCCGACCCCGGAGAGGCCGGCGGCCCGCCCGGCTGGCAGGAGCATCCTGACGAGCCCCGGCCATCTGCGACTCCATGCGGGCCTTCCGCGCAGCCCCCCTGCCAGCCCCTGAGCAAGGCCCTGGAGAGCCCCGTGGGGCAGCGTCCCCACCTGCCTCTGCTCATGGGTGGGCAGGCAGCCCTGAAGCCGGAGCCTGGGCGTCCGGGCGAGGAATCGCCGGCCCCCAAGCAGGAACTGCACCAGCCCTCCTTCCCTGTACCTCAGCTGTCCCCCCTGCCCATGCCCGGCAACCCCGCCGACTACAGCGGCCTGTGCGCCGGGCCTGAGCTCACGGCGCTGGGCAGCTTCTACCTGTACTGTGGCCAAGATGGGCTGCAGTGTGGGGGCTACTCCCCCTGCCCCATGCTCCCCGAGGGGAAGCTGTCCCCGGTGGCCGCCCCCACCGAGGGGCTCCTGCTGGCCCCAAGCTCAGTGCCTTCAGGCACCCCTTTCCAGCACCCACCCTGGAGCTCCTCTCGCTACTGCCCCAGCGAGAAGACGGGAGCCAACGGCTATAGCATCTGCGGCGTGCTGCCCCTGCCTCTCACCCACATCGGCACTGCCTGTGGCGGCTCACCCTACAGAATGCCTTTCGCAGCAGGTAAGGCGAGGACCTGCTTGGTGTCCCAGAAGACCCCGGGGCTGGGCTCTGGGCAGGGGGCTCTTTGGGGGCAGAGCGGCGGCGGAGATGCCGTGCCCTGGCCTTTGGCAGCAGTGCCCCCTTCGTGGGGGCAGCCGTCTCCTCCCCTTGCTGGGATTCCCGATGGTAGACTTTTTTTTTTTTGGTCGGCCATGGGGCCTGAACTCTGGCCTGGGCGCTGTCCCTCAGCTCTTCAGCTCAAGGCGAGCGCTCTACCACTTGAGCTACAGCGCCACTTCCGGTTTTTTAGTGGTTTATTGGAGATAGGAGTCTCACAGTCTCTCCTGCCCAGGCTGGCTTTGAACCGCGATCCTCAGATCTCAGCCTCCTGAGTAGCTAGGATTACAGGCGTGAGCCACCAGCGCCCGGCCCCGATGGTAGATTCTTAAATGCTGAGTTAAATCCGGAACTCCCTCCCGTGTCCCCTCGAGGGAAACTGCATTCTTTGGGTTCCGGGACCATCAGGCACTTAGAGGACAGCCGGTGGTTCGGGGGTTGGAAATGGTGCCAGCTGCCCTGAGGCTGTGGTGCTGTGGCCATACAGACCTCGAAAGAGAGCCGGTTCCCGGCCGTGGCATCGCCTGGCCAGGCATACACACGCCGAGCAGCACTGCGGCTCTGGTGTCTGTCGCTCTCACGAGACCCGGACACCTGAATGGCTTGTGCCCGGGGGTGGGGCAGCCCGGCCTGCCTCCTGCCGGCCTTCCCAGCTTCTGGGTCGAAACGAGGTGACCTGGGCCAGGCTGGCTTTCAGGCCTGCCCGCTGCCGCCGCTCCCCTCCCCCTCCCCCTCTCATAAGGGGTCTATAAAACAACTTTTATAGACCACTTGGTTCTGGCCAGACTGGTTGTTTCAGGTTCTGGCATGAGTTAGAGATTTAAGAAATGAGAGCAGCTGCTGCTTGGGCCTTTTCCTTTGGGGGCCACTCCCCATGCCTAGACCCCTGTCCCTCAGCCTCAGCAACAAGGCCACAGGAAGCAGCATGTGCCAAGAACCACCAGAGAGGCCAGAGACGTGTAATTAGGCACAGAAGCCGGAGCCACACCCCCTCCACTTCGCAGTGTGACCTGGGACAAGTCTTCCCCGCCTCAGTTTCCCCGCCTGCCAAGCAGGAGTCAACAGCCCCTGCGTGGTAGACCGGTACTCGTGAACTGAGTTCACGTTCCCAGGGGAGGCAGCCAGGAAGGGCTGCGTGGCCATCCACAGCTCTGTGTAGCGATGCACCGAGGGGCCGCGGGGCTTGCCTGAGGTCACGTGGCTGGTAGTGGCAGGCGTGGGACTCTTCCCAGCCTGTCCGAGTCTGGCAGCCCTGGGGAAGCCGGAGTCAGAGCCGGCCGAGCCGGCCCCACTGTTCTTCTGTTAGCTAGAGGGGAGAGCTGGCCGCTCCCCAAGGTGAAGAAAGTGACCCCGCCACCCAACAGTCGCTGACAGTCCCCTGTGGAGGGCCCTGTGTTTCCTGTCACCCCACTGGCCTTCCGGCCGCCCATGAGGAATTGGGCTGGGGTGTTGGGTGGGAAGGAGGCTCTGGAGGCAGCTGCACCCCCTACCCCCCTCCTTCCCCCCTTCACCCGCCTTCCTCCCGCTCTCCTGTCTCCTAGACGGCTGCAGGTCCCTGGGCCAGCTGGAATTCCCTCTCCCGGAAGCTGGCCACCCAGCCTCGCCGGCCCACCCCCTCCTGGGATGCCCTGTCCCCAGCGTGCCCCCCGCGGCGGAGCCTGTTCCCCACGTCCAGACACCTACCTCGGAGCCCCAGACGGTAGCCCGCGCCTGCCCTCAGAGTGCCAAGCCTCCCAGCGGTTCCAAGTCGGGCCTGCGCACGGGCGCCGGCTGCAGACACACGGCCCGCAGCAAGGCCGCCCGCAGGCCCAGTCACCCCAAGCAGCCGCGGGCCCAGCGCCCGCGCCCCCGCCGCCGCCGCCGCACCAACGGCTGGGTTCCCGTAGGAGCCGCGTGCGAGAAGGCCGTCTACGTGCTGGTGAGTGCCCACGCCCCGCCCGCCCGGGGAGCGGGACGGGCCCCCGCGCCGCAAGGACCCTGGCAGGGTGGAAAGGTCAGCTGAAATGTCCAATACGTAGCGCAGCCCAGCCTTGAGCCCGGGATTCTCAACCGCAGTCCCCCGAGGGCTGGGACGCAGGCGTGTGCCGCCGCACCCACCGCTTCTTAAATTTGACCCCAGAGTGAAGCTAAGCACCTGGTGCGTTAGCCCTGGAGTCCCCAGCGCCGTCCCCCGTGGTGAGGGTCCCTCGTCCTATCGTTACCCCCCACTTACAAAGGAAGAAGCGGAGACTTGGCGGCAGGTCACACAATTTGTCTAAGGCAGAGCTGTTTACAGTGGTGGTTTAAGGTTCCAACCCGGGCCGTCCCATCAGAGCAGGCGCGCTTCGCTGGTGCTGCCGTGCTTGGAGAGACCCGCCGCCAGGGTGTGGATCGGAAGAGAGCTTTGCGCTGTTTTCCCACCCCGTTCCCAGTCCTGTTCTATTCCTATTGCGTACCCCGTCCTTGCTCAAAGCCGGGCTTAGAGGGGTCCAGCGCTTAGACATGAAGAGTGGTTAGCTATCTTGAAAACAGACCTCCCTCCCTCCCTCCCTCCCTCCCTCCCTCCCTTCCTTCCTATCTTCCTTCTTTCCTTCCACTCCTCCCTCCCTTCCTCCTCCCTCCTCCCTTTTCCCCTTCGCTCCACGTTGGGCTGTGAAAGCCCATTGGTGGTGTGGGTTCATCTCCTAGGATGAGCCGGAACCAGCCATCCGGAAGAGCTACCAGGCAGTAGAGCGGCATGGGGAGACCATCCGCGTCCGGGACACCGTCCTCCTCAAGTCAGGCCCAAGAAAGACATCCACACCTTATGTGGCCAAGATCTCTGCCCTCTGGGAGAACCCCGATTCAGGTACCCCTCCCTCAGGCCAGGAGCTCTGAGCCGTGGTCAGCCCGTGCCTGCAGTTTGGCGCAGCACAGGTCCCCTCTGTTCCCAGCAGCGTCTGCCTTCCCTCCGCCTGCGGCTGTGTGCCCTAGAGGCTGTGCCAGGCTTGAAGGCTGGGTTGGATCCATCCATTCGCTTTCTACCCCCAGGCCGGGGCACCTGTCAGCGCCCTCTCCCCGGTGCCCTCCGGGCCACTGAATGCTTGGCTAGGGCTGGAGGTGCGGGGGCTACGGCCCGCAGAATCCAGGCGCGGAGGTTGGTCTAGCCTCGCGGGCAGGCAGCCAACCAACCTCTCTGCCTGCTCCGGGCACCTGGGGTTGCCAGCTCTAGCCATGATCTCTTCTCTTGTCCCCCAGGGGAGTTGATGATGAGCCTCCTGTGGTATTACCGGCCTGAGCACTTACAGGGGGGCCGCAGCCCCAGCATGCACGAGGTGAGCTGCCTGGCGGGGTGCAAAACCACGTGTAGTGGCCCTGAACAGTGGTATGTGGGCGAGGGCAGCATGCGATGGTATTTTCCTGGGTTCTCCAAGACCTCAAGAACCTAGGGAAGGGCCTGGAGTTTTCCTCGGCCACCGCCGGATTCACATCTCAAAGGGAACAATGACCTAAAGAGACACATGCAGCACCCCTGGAGGGCTGGGGGTGCCAAAATGGAAGTGATGGTTCCCAGCTGTAGGCACAGGGAGGAGCAGCTGTCTACCCACGTCACCCCTGCACCGCCCGGCACCCTGAAAGCTGACGGCCTTCCAGGCCCACCTTTTGTTCCCTTTCCTCTCGTGGGGTCTGCATCTAGTGGGAAGATGGGGGACAATTTGCATTTCCTTCTCTGGCCGGGGGTTGCGGGGGGTGGACAGCCAGGGTGGAGACGTGGGCCCGCTGGAGTCACTTCTACCCAGTGTGAGCGTTAGGAGCCCAGGAGGAACGGCCAGGTGTGCCGAGCCACCGCACTGTGGAGCGGGGCGCTCTTCCTGGCTCCAATACCCATGCCCCTGCTGTCTCCTTTTGAGCCTTTGCAGAATGAAGTGTTTGCGTCACGCCATCAGGATCAGAATAGTGTGGCCTGCATCGAGGAGAAGTGCTACGTGCTCACCTTCGCCGAGTACTGCAGGTGGGTGGTGTCTGCTGCCCTGGTCCCGGAGGACCCATTCACTCACGCACTTACAGCACTCGGGCCGGGAATGTGGCTTAGTGATAGTGTGCTTGCCTGGCATGCATGAAGCCCTCAGTACCATAAAAACAAAAAGCTAGACGTGACATAGTGCTCGTTTTGAGCAAAAGAAGCTCAGGGACAGTGCCCAGGCCCTGAGTTCAAGCCCCAGGACTGGACCACCCCCCCACACCCCAAAAAAAAAATAATTTTATTACCTACAATCTGCTGCTGCCATTTGATTTGTTTTTGTTTTTGTGGTGGACCTAGGGCTTGAACTCAGGTCTGGGATCTGTCCCTGAACTACTTTTGCTCACAGGTAGCGCTCTACTACTTGAACCACAGCACTACTCCCAGTTTTCTGGTGGTTTATTGGAGTTAAGAGTCTCATGGTCTGGGCTGGGAAGGTGGTTCAGTGGTAGAGCGCTTGCCTTGCGTGCCTGAGGCCCTGGGTTCAATTCCTCAGCACCACATAAGCAAAAAAAAAAAAGCCGGAAGTGGTGCTGTGGCTCAAGTGGTAGAGCGCTAGCCTTGAGCTGAAGAGCTGAGGGACAGCGCCCAGAGTTCAGGCCCCATGACCGGACCAAAAAAAAAAGTCTCACGGACTTTCCTGCCTGGGCTGGCTTTGAACTGTGATCCTCTGAGTAGCTAGGATTCTAGGTGTGAGCCACCGGTGCCTGGCTCTGACCTTTTTCTTTAAGACAACATGTACCCACCTACCCCCTTATGGGAGATGGCACAGTGATCAGCAGGCGGTGTGGAGGGAAGCAGGGAAGCCCCCGAGAGGTGCACTTGCAGGCAGTGGAGCAAGTGCATCTCCAGGGACAGGCTGGGAGCGGCGCCGCCCCGGGGTGCAGGGCAGGGAAGGGACTCTGTCTTCCTGCAAAGATGGCTGGGGTAAAGACAGTGCGTGGTCTGTCGCTGCAGATTCTGTGCCATGGCCAAGCGCCGGGGCGAGGGCCTTCCCAGCCGGAAGACGGCGCTGGTGCCCCCATCCTCGGACTACTCGACTCCGCCACACCGCACCGTGCCCGAGGACACAGACCCAGAGCTGGTGTTCCTTTGCCGCCATGTCTATGACTTCCGCCATGGCCGCATCCTCAAGAACCCTCAGTAGCGTCCTCATGCCCACACGGGGGGGCTGCCCTCGGGCAAGTGGGGCTCGGGGCTGGGGGTACTGCTTGAAGCACAGCACTTGGTTTAAGGGGCCACGGGGTCCTGAGGTTGCCGGCCTGTGGTTTTCCTGGGAGGGGGTGGGAGGGCAGGGCCCCCCGTGGGTTCTGGGTCTTGAGGGGAGGAAGGAGAGGCCAGGTACAAAATCAGCGCCCTCAGCTTGGCCCAGGGTGCCTCTCTGCCGTGCCCTGGGTGGAGACTCCCGAAGAATCAGTCTTCCCTGAGGCTGGGCCAAGGCTGAGGGACATGCACCAAGGAAGGGCAGGGGCGAGGGGGATGGGTAAGGCCCTTCCAGAACCAGACAGACCCTTCTGCGGCCTCCCCCCCCACCCCCCACCCCCGGCCCTCCCAGGGGAGCGGAGCCAGCTTTACCTCACCCACTGTGACCCACTGCTTCCTGTCAGCCTGGATCAGGCGCTCCCGATCCTAGCGCAGCTCTGGGCTTGTTCTTCGCAGCGTGGAGAGCCACAGTCCAGCTTCCAGAGCGTCGACTTCCTCTTCCTGGACTGGGGGCCTTGCCCTCGCTTCGCTCCTTTGCCCCTGCAGTAGCCACTGGCGCTGGGTCCACGTGACCTGGCCCCGGAAGTCCGAGGCGGCCCGCTGTGGCAGCAAGCCCCCTGTCTGCCTCTCTTGAGGGACACGCAGCAGGTCTGGCTTCGCAGAAGGTTGCCTGGTGAACTTGGGATTGGTCGGCGTCGTGTCCGGGAGGGCTCGGGGGCGGGGCAAGGAGAATTGCTACCTGATTTGTTGAAGATTTTTCCTCTTGCCTTACACTTGGAGGTCCTGGGAAACCTCCTGCAGAACTTCACGCGGGACTCTCGAAGCCACACCCACCCGAAATCAAAACCAAAGGAGTGCTGTGGCTCCCCTTGGCGGTTCCCCCTTCCCCTAGTCTTTTGTAGATTGCACTAATTCCCATCCCAGTGAGAATCAACACTGTATCAGTACACAGACCTGCTGAGCCGCGGCCACTCGCTGGGAGCTGAGAACCTGCATTTTCACTTTGTTCTTGCTGCCCAGAGGCCCCGTTAATCTTGACTGGTTAGGACGCTCACCACCCTGTCGTCCTCCCCTGGCCTAGGTAGGCCCTGGCCCCGGCTCTCTCCAGAGGGGCTGGAGGCCTGATTATTTCCTGTTTGTACCAAAGAAGAGCATGGTGAGGAGAGGAGTGGGGGCTGTGGCTTGGGCCGGGTGTCGGGAAACTGGTTACTCATCCACCCCAAAACAGAAGCCAAGGAGAGTGGCACTGGCTCCTCAGGACGGGGGAACGCGGGCCCAGCAGGCTGGGAGGTGGCACTGGATGAAGATAGTCTGGCAGGGGCGCAGAGGGAGGTGGAAGAATCCTGGGGGTGCCCCCAGTGGCCCTGGAGCCCTGCCCTGATCCTTAGAAACGGGTTGTTCCTGATTGGTCATCGAGTTGGGGAGGCCAGAGGGCTTCCGCGCGCCTGGCGGGAAGGGCCTTGGGTCTCTGTACTGAATAAGCTGTTCAGAGGAAGTGGGGGCCAGCTGGAAGAAGTGGGGGGCAGTAAGGGGTTGGTGGGGTGGCCAGGGGAGCCCTGGAGGGCCAGCCCCGGTGCTTTCCTGTTTCCGGGGTTTGCTGAGGAGGCCTCCCTCACCCTTAGAAGAGTTCCAGCCCCCACCCCCTCGTGGGAGGCAGGGGCTACTGCCCAGAACTTAACGCTTTTAAAACTCTTAGATGTGGAAATATTTTTTCGAACCTGAAAATGCAGCTGGTAGAATTTCGATGGAAGCATAATCCATGTAAACTCTATTTTAGTTGATATTTTGTAAAATGCACTTTTTGTGTGTGTCGATCCTGGTTTCCCAGATCTGTATTTCAGTGTTTACAAGGGAGGGCCACCTTTCCTCACTTCCCTTTTGACAGAGATTAGAAGTACTTCTTTAAGAAAAAAGTAAATTTGAGAAATTGTATTGATCTAGAAAAGGATGATTTCTTATGTGTCCTGTCTTTTTTTTGGGGGGGGGCATGTAAACGTAGGGACATTCACCGTTCTTATTTCAGGAGTCCTCACCATTACCTTTGTAGTTGCTCACTGAGAGCAAAAAGAGAAGGTGGAAGTTGAAATTGACTTTTTTTTTTGGTCAGTTGTGGGCCTTGAACTCTGGACTCTGTCCCTGTGCTCTTCAGGTCAAGGTGAGCGCTCTACTGCTTGAGCCACAGCATCACTTCCAGTTTTCTAGTGGTTTATTGGAGATAAGAGTCTCACAGACTTTCCTGCCTGGGCTGGCTTTGAACCGTGATCCTCAAATCTCAGCCTCCTGAGTAGCTAGGATTACAGGCGTGAGCCACCAACACCTGGCAAAATCCAATCTCTCTCTCTTTGTGTGAGTGTGGGTGTGGGTGTGGGTTGTGGGGCTTGAACTCGGCTTGGGCACTGTCCCTGGGCTCTTCAGCTCAAGGTGTTTGAGCCACAGCACCACTTCCTGAAATTTGACTTCTTGATGCCTGCCAGCCACTGGCTGAAGGCCTTGGGCTCCCTGCCTCCCACCCCCATCAGGGTTCTGAGCAGGAGCTTAGCTCCCAAGTGGGTGCTTGGAAAATGCTACATCGTCACCTTGGGGTTCTGGTGGGCAAGCTGAGCGGCAGTGTTCTGTGACTGGCTGGGCCCCTGCGTCAGGCCAGCCCAAAGCTTTGGTGTGGGGCCCAGTGAAGCTGGGGAGCTCCTGGGCGGCGGCACACAGCTGCCCAGCCCTGGAGATGTTTCCATAGAGGTCACTACTGGCCTGAGCCCCACTGTGTACCCACAGGAGTCCCTGAAGATAGGTGGTCAGCTGTCACACAGGACCTGGTCAAGATGAGCCTGCCCGAGGGCGCCCCGAGTTAGACTGCCTCCCTGCTGGCAGAGCAGGTGGCCAAAACTGTCAAAAACAAGGGACGCAGCGGACAACCCTACGCCCAGAAATCCTCCATCAGACAGGTCCTGGTAGCTGGAGGTGTGTACGGAGGTGCAGGTCGTCCACACGCAGCCGTTGGGAGCTGATGGCCGGGAGCTTCCCCCTTATTTTCCCAGTTCACTGTGCTGCTCACGCTTCTGTGGTGGCCGGGGTGCTGGTGACCCCTGGCCTGTCCTGAGGCCTGCCTGCCTGCCTCCCATCCATGCGGGTGGGGCTCCGTTCATCCCTCGAGGATGATGACTACACATGAAGGTTTTCGGGGCCGGGAAGGGGGCTCCGTAGAGCGCTTGCCTCGCACGCACGAAGCCCTGGGTGGGTTCCATTCCGCAGAAAAGCCCTGAAGTGGCGGGAGGCTCAGGGACAGCGCCCGGGCCCTGAGTTCAAGCCCCAGGGCTGGCAAGGAAGAAGTGAGCGTCTTAGACCATGCCAGCAGCCGCACCGGCTTCCCGGGCCCGGGCTGCGGGGCGGTGGGAGACGCCGAGCCCGCCCGGCAGGCACCTGCCCGCGCCCGGGCTGCGCCTCCGCGCGCGTGGATGCCCGGCCCGCGGCTCGCTGGCTTCCCGGGCCCGGCCCGGCCTCCCGCCCGCCGGGGGGCGGCTCCCTCCGCGGGGTCACGGCGGCGGAGCCCCGGGCCAGCGGCGCGGGCGGGCGCGGGCTCGCCGGGGACGGAGCGGCCGGGGCGGGCGCGCGGCAGCCGGAGGCGGCTTTTGTCCGCGGCCGGGCGGCGCGGGCGGGGGTCCGCGGCCGGGGCGCCCGCCCCTCTCCCCGCCCCCCGGCGTGGGCCCGCCCCGCGCCCGTGTCGAGGCGGGCCGGGGCTGGGGAGCGGGGCGGGCGGGACATCCGGCCCGGGGCCCCGGCCGCGCCCGCCGCCGCCAGGCCCGCCCCGCCGTCCTCGCGACCCCCTCCCGGGACTCCGCGGCTCCCCGCCTTCCCTCGCGGCCCGGCCCAGCGCCATGTTCCCCCCGCCCGCTGGCCCCGCTGGCCGCCCCGGACGGCGCCGAGCCCCCGGGCCGGGCGGCGCGGCGGGCTCGGGGCCGGGCGGCGGCGGCCCCGCCGCCCCTGCTGCTGCCGTCCATGCTGATGTTCGCGGTGATCGTGGCGTCCAGCGGGCTGCTGCTGATGATCGAGCGCGGCATCCTGGCGGAGATGAAGCCGCCTCCCCTGCACCCGCCGGGCCGCCGCGGGGCGCCGGGCCCGGGGGACGGGGACGGGGAGCTGCGGGTGCGGCGCGACGTCCGCAACCGGACGCTGCGGGCGGTGTGCGGGCAGCCGGGCATGCCGCGGGACCCCTGGGACCTGCCGGCCGGGCCGCGGCGCACGCTGCTCCGCCACGTCCTGGTGAGCGATCGCTACCGCTTCCTGTACTGCTACGTGCCCAAGGTGGCCTGCTCCAACTGGAAGCGCGTGCTGAAGGTGCTGGCGGGCGCGCTGGGCAGCGTGGACGCGCGCCTCAAGATGGACCACCGCGCCGACCTGGTGTTCCTGGCCGACCTGCGGCCCGACCAGATCCGCCACCGCCTGCGCCACTACTTCAAGTTCCTGTTCGTGCGCGACCCCGCCGAGCGCCTGCTGTCCGCCTACCGCAACAAGTTCGGCGAGATCCCCGAGTACCAGCGCCGCTACGGGGCGGAGATCGTGCGCCGCTACCGGCCGGGCGCCGGGCCCGACCCCGCGGGCGACGACGTCACCTTCCCCGAGTTCCTGCGCTACCTGGCGGACGAGGACCCCGAGCGCATGAACGAGCACTGGATGCCCGTCTACCACCTGTGCCAGCCCTGCGCCGTGCGCTACGACTTCGTGGGCTCCTACGAGCGCCTGGAGGCCGACGCCAACCACGTGCTGGAGCGCGTGCGGGCGCCGCCCCACGTGCGCTTCCCCGCGCGCCAGGCCTGGTACCGGCCCGCCAGCCCCGAGAGCCTGCACTACCACCTGTGCAGCGCCCCGCGCGCCCTGCTGCACGACGTGCTGCCCAAGTACATCCTGGACTTCTCGCTCTTCGCCTACCCGCTGCCCAATGTCACCCGGGAGGCCTGCCGCCAGTGACCACCACGGCTGGGGTTGGGGAGTGGGGGGCGGGGGGGGGCTGGGGCTTCTCCAAGGTCTCCAGAGAGCTAGATGACAGGCATCGCCCCCCGCCAGAGTTCCTTGTCCAGAGAGCGGAGGGTCGTGCCCACAGTGGACAAGATGGGGACAGGGGCACCGGCTGTGCCTCAGTGGGAGGAAGGGGGGGTGTCTCTTGGTGGGGTCCTGCGATCTTGGCTCCCTTGGACCCTTAGTTGGTTAGCGAGGTATTCATCCATCTCATCCAAAAACACAGGCTTCAGGCCTCCTGCTGCAGGACTTGAGTCATCCGATCCAGCTTGCTTGGTGGCACCAGCCTGGAGTCCTGCCTGGGGCTCGGGGACCTGTGGTCTGGGACCCCTCATGTATGCACCCCAGGTGCCTCAGGACAAGGGTGAATGTTCAGACCAGGCCAGTGCCTTCTAAGTCTCTGCTGTGCTTTTCTGCTCTACACTCCAAAGTGCCTCCACTTGCTACTTTTCCATTTTTTCCTAGGAAAGGAAAATGGAAGCTGAGCAGGGCCCTGGGCCTAGTTTGCTCCAGGAACCAGCCCAGCAGGAATCCAAAGACCCTCGGGGCCCAGCCTCTCCCTAGAGCTTGGGAGTCTCTTGCCCAGAGCCTCCTTCCTTCCCCTGCAAGACCAGACCACTGTGACTGTGGCTCTTCTCCTCAGCTATCACTTTGCTATTGCATTTATTTAAAGTTTATACTTTCTGATAGGATCCTGGGGAGGGCTGTTTTTCTCCTCTAATAGCTGAAGTTTTAATAAAGCTGTTTTGTATATGAGTGAGCTCTCTGTGATTCCCTCCGCTGAGCTGCAGTGAGCCCAGCAAGTGTGTCTCCCGCCTGTGGGTCAGCACCACACCTTCCGCTCTGCAGGGGCTTCTGATAGTTTGCAGAATGTTTCCAGCTCCTGGAGCGGACCCTACAGAAGGGAGTGGAGAACATGATCCTCTCTTCCTCTTGGGCAAGAATGCTTCCTTTCTTTTCCTTTTCTTTTCTTTTTGAGATGGAGTTTTCCTGTGTTACCTACATGGACTAGAACAGTTGGGATTACAGAAGCACGCCGTCACACCCAACTCAGAAATACATACTTTCTCAGCTGCCCTCAAGCCCCAATCTTCCAGATCTCTGGCTCCCTAGTAGCCAGGATTATAAGAATGGGCTCCTGCAACCAGCCTTCTTAGCTCCAAACTATTTCTCTCCCTCTCTCTTCCCACACCCTTTTGGGTCGGTCATGGGACTTGAACTCTGGGCCTGGGCTAGTGCACTTGAGCCACAGCACCACTTCTGGTTTTCTGGTGGTTTATTGGAGATGAGTCTCGTGGAGGGGGCTGGGAAGGTGGCTCAGTGGTAGAGTGCTTGCCTCACATGCATGAGGCCCTGGGTTCCATTCCTCAGCACCACATAAACAGAAAAGGCTGGAAGTGGTATTGTGGCTCAAGTGGTAGAGCGCTAGTCTTGAGCTGAAGAGCTCAGGGACAGCGCCCAGGCCCAGAGTTCAAGCCCCACAAGGGACAAAAAAAAAATTCTCATGGACTCTCCTGCATGGGCTGGATTTGAACCACTATCCTCAGCTCTTGGCCTCCTGAGTAGCTAGGATTATAGGGCTGAGCCACTGGCACCCTGCCAGACTATTTCTTGAGTGAGGAAGCCCCCACCGTATTTTCAGATAAAAAAGGGGTCAGTATACAAGGGAAGTTCATTTCCTGGAACTGAGGATTAACAAGGAAAGGGCTGCTAACAGGTTAGTTTTTTCTAGGAGCTTCCTGGCACTCAGAAGCCATCACTCACAGAGTTGGGCCTATGTTGTATCTACCACTTAATCCAAGAAAGAGCCCAGTGCCCGCCTGAGGGCTCATCCGTCCTGTCTTACAGGTGGCTATTCTAGCTCAGAGAAGGAAGTAACAGGGCTGGGAAGGTGGCTCAGTGGTAGAGTGCTTGCCTAGCATGCATGAAACCCTGGGTTTGATTCCTCAGCACCACACACACAGAAAAGGCCGGAAGTGGCGCTGTCGCTCGAGTGGTAGAGTGCTAGCCTTGAGCAAAAGAAGCTCAGGGACAGCGTCCAGGCCCTGAGTTCGGTCCCCAGGACTGTAGGGGGGAGAAAATTTTTTTTTTCTTTTTTGTTGGTCGTGGGGCTTGAACTCTGGGCCTGGGCGCTGTCCCTCAGCTCTTCAGCTCAAGGCGAGCGCTCTACCACTTGGGCCACAGCACCACTTCCGGTTTTCTGGTGGTTTATTGGAGATCGGAGTCTCACAGTCTCTCCTGCCCGGGCTGGCTTTGAACCTCGATCCTCAGATCTCAGCCTCCTGAGTAGCTAGGATTACAGGCGTGAGCCACCAGCGCCCGGCGGGGGGAGAAAATTTTAAAAAAAGAGTCCCATGGACTTTCCTGCCTGGATTGGCTTCCAACTGCAGGTCCTCCGATCACAGATCTCAGCCTCCCTAAGATTACAGGTGTGAGCCACCAGCACCCGGTGGGAGAGCAGGTTCTGCAAGGCCCTTGGCGTGGTAGAGAGGACTGCTCAGGGAAGGAGACACCCTATCTAACCTGCTCTTGGCAGTGAGCCCTGGCCTCTCATGCCAGCCCTGTCTGACTCCTTCAGGTCACTAGAAATTGAATTTTTATCTCCCCACCCCTTCTAGAACTCTGAAGGAAGTGATGTATCGTATCACACACACACACACACACACACACACACATCCCACGTCACACACTGTTGAGAGTGTAACCATTCTCTGGGTACAGTCATTGAATTCTATCTTGTTGCCTAGCAACCTAACGACATTTCAGCCCTTTCCAGCCAAAGGGTAGGTGGAGGGGGCAGGCACGTGACTGGCTGGGGCCTTCTCGATCTGGAGGTTTCCATATGGCCGGTAGCCTAAACAGCAAAGGTTTTTACATTCTGGGGTCTCCTCCTCATGGGGGGATGGGCGCGTGTAGAAGCGGACCCTTTAGGGCCCTTCCTTCTTTTTTTTTGTTTTTTGTTGGTCATGGGGCTTGAACTCAGGGCGTGGGTGCTGTCCCTGAACTTTCTTGCTGAAGGCTAGTGCTCTACCACTTGGAGCCTCAGCCCCACTTCCAGTTTTTAGGTGGTTAATTGGAGGTAAGAGTCTCATGGCCTTTCCTGTCCACACTGGCTTCCATCCATGATCCTCTGATCTCAGGCTCCAGTAGCTAGGAATACAAGTGTGGGCTACCAGTGCCCAGCCGGCCCTTCTTTCTGGTCTGGGAGCCACACTTGGAATGAGGGCTCTTCCCAGGTGACGAAAACACCCCCTGTGGTAAGTGGAGGGTAAGAAGGGCAGATCCAAAACCTCACCTCTCCAGAAGGGAGATGCACCTCCCAGTGGTGGGGGAGGGCGTGGAAGTTCAGAGGCCCCCCACATATATACACACACAGCAGCCCGTGTGCTGACTGGGGCCTCAGCCCTGAGCTGCTGTGGAAGTTCTTTATCCAAAAGGCAGAGAAGCGCCAGGGCGCCGGTGGCTCACGCCTGTAATCCTAGCTACTCAGGAGGCTGAGATCTGAGGATTGCAGTTCAAAGCCAGCTTGGGCAGGAAAAGCCATGAAATTCTTATCTTCAGTTAACCACTAGAAACCCAAAGTGACTCTGTGGCTCAAGCGGTAGATTGCTCGCCTTGAGCTGAAGAGCGCAGGGACAGCGCCCAGGCCCAGAGTTCAGGCCCCATGATCAACAACAGCAACAAAAAAAAGGCAGAGAAGCTATTGTTTTATGTATTTATTTTTATTTTTGGGTCCGGTTGTGGGGCTTGAACTCTGGGCCTGGGCGCTGTCCCTCAGCTCTTCAGCTCAAGGCTAGCGCTCTACCACTTGAGCCACAGCGCCACTTCCGGCTTTTTTCTTTTTGCTTATGTGGTGCTGAGGAATCGAACCCAGGGCCTCAGGCATGCAAGGCAAGCGCTCTACCGCTGAGCCACCTTCCCACCCCCCAGCTATTGTTTAATCTGTTTAGTATTTATTTATTTCTGCCAAGCTGAGCAACAAAGGGCTTTGTGCTTGGTAAGCAGGTGTTCTATTAGCAAATTCATGATTCTGCCAGATGTGAATACATGTGTGCATCACTACTATATCCACTTCCTAGACTTCTCTCTCTTTTTTTTTTGGCCAGTCCTGGTGTTTGAACTCAGGGTCTGGGCGCTGTCCTTGAGCTTCTTTTGCTCTACCACTTTGAGTCACAGCGCCACTTCCAGCTTTTTCTGTGTATGTGGTACTGAGGAATCAAACCCGGGGCTTCACACATGCTAGGCGAGCGCTCTACCGCTAAGCCACATCCCCAGCCCTCCAGAGGGTTTCTTTGCTAAATGTCGATTGGTTCCCAACCCCTGCCTTAATTCCTTCGGAAAATGCAGCTGGTGGGAAGTTCTGAATGTCGGGAGAAGGTGTTTGGTGAACAACTGTGAGCTCCTGCGCTCACACTGCTGACTAACCAAAAAAATAAATAATAACGGAAGCAAATAAAGGGTTGGGGCTTTGCTCCAGCAGGGCCTAGCAAAGAGAAGGCGCTGAAATGAGAAGACCCTGCAGCAGCCTGGGAGAATCAGAACCCCAGCGGGTCTCCCCTACTTTCCTTCAGGCCCAAACAGGCTTCCGGAAGCCTCCACGCACCTGGAGGGCTACAGCATTTGCATTCCCAGGTAGAGGGACTGGCACCCCCTGTGAGGGGGTTTTGTCATTGAAATTGGTCACTTTTCCTGCATCCTGTCCGGGCCGGGCCTTTCTGTTTGTGTGTGGCCATCCCAGGCTGGAGGTCTGCCCCAGCCCCCGCCCCTTCCCCGTGGTTCTTCTGGAAACCGACTCTTCCCCCATACCCAGGTTGGCCCAAGCTACACCTTATTCTCCTGCAGAGATGGGTCTATACCCGCCCCCCTCCTCCTCCAAAGCTCTATCAAGGTTTAAGCTGGGTGTTGGTGGCTCACTGCTGTAATCCTAACTACTCAGGAGGCTGAGATCTGAAGCTCATTGTTCAAAGCCAGCCCAGGCAGCTTCTGGCTTTTCTGAGCAGTTTATTGGAGGTAAGAGTTTCACAGACTTTTCTGCTCCAGCTAGCTTCAAACTGTGATCCTCAGATCTCAGTCTCCTGAATGGCTAGGATTAGGACTCTCTGAGACTCTAACCTCCAGACCACCAGAACTGCCACTGTGACTCAAAGTGGTAGGATGCTAGCCTTGAGCAGAAGAGCTCCAGGACAGCTTCCAGGCTCTGAGTTCAAGCCCCATAACTGATAAAGAAAAACTGCGTGTATTTAATCAACACACACTAAACCTTTATGTATGTAGGAAGAACGCTTCAGGTCAACTCTTAGCACATTTCAAGCACACAATATGTTAAGATTAACTACAGCTGCATGTCAGAGACAGTCCAGCTGTGGCAGGAAGCAGGTGATTTCAGCCAGCTGGACTTGTGTCTTTTCCTTCCTTCCTTCCTTCCTTCTTTCCTTCCTTCCTTCCTTCCTTCCTTCCTTCCTTCCTTCCTTCCTTCCTTCCTTCCTTCCTTCCTTCCTTCCTTCTTTCCTTCCTTCCTTCCTTCCTTCCTTTCCTTCCTTCCTTCCTTCCTTTCCTTCCTTCTTTTCTTTCTTAGTTGTGGGGCTTGAACTCTGGGTCTGGGTGCTGTCCCTCAGCTCTTCAGCTCAAGGCAAGTGCTCTACCATTTGAGTCACAGCACCTCTTCCGCTTTTCTGGTGGTTTATTGGAGATAAGAGTCTCACAGACTTTCCTGCCAGGGCTGGCTTTGAACCATGATCCTCAGATCTCAGCCTCCT